CCATGCATAAATATCAAGCAGCCGCAACCACTTTCCATTTTCCTTTTCTTCTTACCACAACGGATCTGTGTCCAGCACTCCTGTTGACGGGGTTGTCAGTCTGACTGACTTCTCTGTGTTTCGGTTGAGAGCTGGGCAGATCGACGACCTTGGAGCCATTCATCTTTTTACATGTATGGCAGCCTTACGGCTTCCTGTCGACAGATCTCAGATGAAATGTTTGCACCGGGAATTCCTTGGGTCTTGAGCTCCCGTTTTAGGTGAGCTCGGCTTGAGGCCCTGGTCGTGAACGGCGTCATATTCCACCCCTCTTTACCGATCGGCCGTTGGCCTGTGAGGTTAGGGATAAACCATGACCTGCCAACATTCTAAACTATAAAACTTAATCTTCGTAGAGCGAACCATGCACGAGAACAGCAATCAAGTATAGTAGGCTTCGGCCGACCATGCACCAACCGTCTGAAATTCTCTCGGGTAGAGGTCGCGATCACGTGACTCTTGACAAATGCCCCGAGTAATATGGACTTTTGCATGAGATACCTTGAGTGATTGCATCCTGCTGTGGCAGCATCTCGGCCTCGTCTTTCAGTGTCGCCAATTTGGGCACCAATCTGGGCCTGGGGCTATCCATCTTGCATTGTGGTACTTTCGTGCTTGGAGAGCATGCGCTCATCACGGGTGCGGATGTTCATATACGCCGTGCAGGGCATGCTTTGATGTCCGAATATCACATCTCATTCATAATCTACAAGAGTTTCAAATGGCCCGTTACTCCATCAACCACACTCTTAGGGCCCAAGACACCGAGGACAGTACGGCTGCCACTAGCAATTTGTGTCCGGCCCGCGTCCTGAATAACGCGCGCGCAAAGTCCAAGACTCATGGCCTGAGCCTGCAGGAGTAGCAGATCATCCTCTGACTTGATCTGGAGAGCAATCTTGGCCTGTCCGCCTTGTTCCCAACGGCGCAAGATCGGCGAATCCGGCTTGTGGGTAATGAAATATTTGTAGCATGCGAGGGTCGCGTGTGAAGCTTGCGCGGCGATTTTACCTATCGGCAGCGCGGACGCAAAGATACAATGTTAGTCAAATCTGGCAATTCTCCGAGTAGAGCTGGAGATATTGAAGTGCATCCACTCAAAACTTTCACCGTGAAAGTTCTCTGAGCGCATAGCAGCACAAAGTCACATACCCTTCGTCATCCCGAGATCTGTCCGTACAACCAGCACCAGCTTCACTTCCTCCTCATTGTCCTTGAACGAGGCCAATTCCTCTCCGGTCCCTTCGTCCTCGTCGTCGTCGCTCTCCTCCTCTTCAGAGTCCTGGCCCTCGAGCTCCTCGTCCGAGGAATCCTTGTGGACCTTGACGTCGTACCCGTTAGGCCAGCCCTGTTTTTCTCTGAACAGGCCGAGCGAGGCGCCCTGGCCGATAAAATATCCTGTAACGCCGGCGACAATGGCGGTGGCAATCACGTAGGCTGTCGTCGTGGGGGTTGTGCGGTCCAAAGGAGCTGCCATTTTGTTGTTTGAGAGGGCGAAATTCAAGCTGGGGGTTTCATAGAGGGTTGTGTGAGAATTGTAAGAGTCGCGGGGAGAATGGGCTTGTATGCTCAACTGACGCACATGCGGAACTGGGTTCTTTTTCTGCCTCCGCCAATGGGAATGTCGATGGGCCTGGCGACGGAGATTTACAGTAGAGGGCCTGGAACTCGACGCTACATCGACACGCTACCCTCTTGATGGAGTCTGGCTTTCGTGGTGCAGATTTGAATCTTCTTTTTATGCATACTCTGGCATTCAAACTTTATGCAACACATCGTTGTTCACTCCATCGCGAGTTTTACAACTGCGCGAGGAATCGAGACCAACTTGATTCGAGGAATTGGATCGCTTCCTCGTGAACCTAGAACAATATGGCGCGAAAGGATACTTAGTGTCAGTTGCTTGCACTTGCACTTGCACTTGCACTTGCACTTGCAGTGAGTGTTCTATCAATACGGTCCGAGGGTACCGATTCGTGACACGGACGGTCTATCGCGCTCAATTGATGTTGAGTCCATACGCGCAAGTATAGGTAGTTCATGCTTATCCATATACGTTTGGACACCCAGCTCAAATGGCTGTCTCTGTTAACAAGGTGGGCTCTGCCACTCCTTTGTTGTCACGACGTGGAATCTCGAAGCAATCTAAATTTCACTTGAGAGAAGAATTGTGAACCAAGCTAAGAAAACAGCCAGTAAGAGACCTGCAAAGGCGAGAATAAGAAAAGAAAAAAAAAGCAAAGAAGCAAAATCCCCTGTTTATTGAATCGATCGATAGCCATTATTTACATCCCAAAAGTACAGACGTGTGGTATAGGTGCGAAGGGGAAAAAAGAGACCTTCTAAATCAAGCACGACGAGGCGCATTGCCAACGTTGTTCATACGGCGACCCCTGTGACAAAGCAATGGATTAGCCGAGTTCATCGACGTGCGTTTGCCCGTCGAGCCATGACTGTCGGGCAGATAGCTTGCGAAGGCGAAGGAGAAGCGAATAAACTTACATGATGGTACGGCTGAAGAAGCTGACAAGGATCATGAAGGACCAGCTGGGAATGGCACCAAGGGCCCAGATCGCATAACCAACGGGCACGTTGAGTTGGTACTTGGCGAGCCAGCCATCAGTGGGGTGCAAAGCACCCTCGTAGGCAGGGACGTCCTCGAAAGTCTTCTTGGAGTGGATCTGATACAGTTCTTGGGGCGTGATGGTGGTGTGGTTCAAGTAGACCACGTGCAGAGGGGTTGGGAGACGCTCTTGGCCCAAGGGCTGGGCCTGGGGAAGCTGGAAGTAGAAGACGGTGGGCGCGCCAGCGGACCAGGTAGCACAGAGGACGCGCTCTTCCTCACAGTTGAGCAAACCGAGGTTGGGGGAGGTGCGATCAGCGGAGAAAAGAACCACGGATTCCTGGAGCAGAGACACAGGTTAGCTCTGACGCGCAGGTCACGATGAATACTAAAGACCGGGGAGCTCCCAATACCCCCACGGGGTAGCAACCCCCTTTTGAACAACTGAAGGAACTTACATTGAACGCCTTCTCTGCGATGTCGCAGCGACCGAAACAGGTCTTGTTGCCACCGGTCACGAAAATATACCAATCCTGAGGGTCCTCCGCAGGAGTCAGGATCGACTGCCAGTTCTGCATCGTCACGGGAGTGACATGCTTCTCCGATACCTTCTCAACCACCTTCTGGACCGGCTCATCGGGGACGGCCGAGGGAACGAGGTTCTTCGCCTTGTTGAACCAGCCCTGCACGCGATCGGCGAGGGGCACCTGCTCCTGGGCCAGAGCCAGGGCCGGGAGGAGGGCGACAATTGAAGTGAAACGCATCTTGATGGCTATTGAACACGAGGCGGTAAGAACGGGCAAACAAATAGCCAGGCGTCACCAGCAGATGCTATGCAGCCTGCAGAGTCACAAATATCTGATGGAACTTACCGATTTTGGTTGTCACGGACGATCAATTGAACGGCACCCGAGGGATTAAGGGGAAGAAAATCGGAGCAGGTCAGCTTTGAGGCTTAACGACAGCTGGCCTGAGCGTTCGGGTCAACCGAGCCAACCGCCACGAGTGGTCTAGCCAACCACCGCGGGGGATCGACCCGGTCCACTCGGAGCTAGCACAAGCCATGGTTGGGGAGATTGTTGTAATGACAACTTGGAGGGTTATGTGACGGCGATCAACGGAGACGATATGGCCAGAAGAACAAAGTTGGTGCTGTTGCAGCTTAGCCTACTAGGTAGTAGGTACTAGCTAATGCTTTCTGATATGAATGCGGTCCAATTCCCTCTTATATCATGGCCTTGGGGATGAATCTCCCATGGGACACGGCTCTGGTGGTCAACTAAGCCCGCCCCGGCTTGATAATATACACTCATTTCAAGCGAAAAGCTACGCAGTCAATGACGTTGAAGCATACTTCGGGGTAGTGACTTGTTCAATTCTACGATGATGTGATTGTCCGGAGCCTTAATCACAAAGTGTTTGTTTGCGTCTGATACCACTCGGTAGATGTTCTCAAATCGGGGTCACACCCGACGTCTCGACCTTCTTCCTCCTCATCTAGGCCACCTATGATTTGTATGCACCTCATTTGCATATATGTAGAGCTGACACGTATCTTTGACTAGGAACGGGCCTATTGCGTCCTAAAACATGGTACATTGCATGCAAACTCCTTGGCCTGTCTGGCATTGATGGTGCCGCAATGCGCAGGACTCACCCTTCGTCGGCACTTGCATCAACCCAGATTTATATAAAGTACGGTGTTCCGAGGCACTGCTTCAACAGACTCTTACGTGAGGCTAGGTTGAAAGGTCCGGGCTTCAAGCCCTGCAGCGGGAACAGGTATTGATGGGTAGAACACCATCACTATTAAACCAGCTGTGGTGTATGGTGTATCAGTGTATATATATTGCCGCTTCTGTCCCTGATGTCGGGCTGTCGGGCCCCGCGGGACCACGTGCAAACCGAGTCATGGAAAACCCTGAGAGTTGAACAGTCAGCCTCGGTGGCGTGGGGCACTCTTGTGCTCGTGCAGTTCAGGTGACCTGACTATATGTGTTTGTCTTCGTGCTGGTCCACCATGTTTCGTAGGTACCACTCATCCGGATGAGTTGGTGAAATGGATCCTGATCGGCACCTAGGGCTGGTACTCTGGTGGTGTCGAGATCGCACGTTGAAATGTGGTAGTTAAAGGGTTCGAGCCGCTTCACCTTTCGAGTATGCGAGATCGGGCTCTGGCCCTAGATGCACTTGCATCAGGAATATTGACTATGTAGGCAGATTCCTCCATGTGGAGATGGAGGTGGTAACTAGCCTGGCTTGGGATACCTCATTCAATTCATAGAGGCCATCGAGAGCTGTTGATTGAGATTCAGATCCATGGTGAACGGAATGTCTCTCTTCGGGTGAAGATAAGTATACTTTATATTATCAAAATATACCCACTTTTCTTGATAGTGCGAGTGTGGCCGAGTGGTCTAAGGCGGTCGACTTAAGTACCTTGAAGTATTAACTCTCGACTGGGCAATCGCCCTCGCGCGTTCGAACCGCGTCGCTCGCATCATCTTTTTTTTTCCCCTGACCTCTTGCACCACCCTACTGAGAAGTTGCTCTCAGGTCTCTTTTTTGGAGACCGCTCACAATACCCTTGCGTACCTGAATCAGCATGGCTATCGTCATCGTTAAATGTACTTTCAGACCCCAATCAGCCTCAATATATACGTCGCTACATAGAAAAGGTTCGTCAAGGCTATTCCTAGCCTACAGGTCACGCGAGCTGATGAGACTACCGGGTCCTTCAACCCTTGTACAGTTTGAATTCAATACCGTGCGAGTAAACATTAAGGATGAATATTCAGTATTGTGGTAGAATGGAGAGTGAAACCGCAAGTCTACACGTCTTGCCTACCCTTTATCTCAATCATTCCAATATGAGGGAGCACATGCATACCTTTGTTCGACGACCCATAGTCATTATTAAATGTAGCGGGGCCCATCTCTAGTAGTGTATCCATGACGACAGCGTCCATCTCGCTTATCGACTGCCGAGCTTCAACAGTGACCATCTTTAGAACCATGACACTACTGTTCCGACCGGAATGTTGTACTACACGTACCACAGTTTGCTGTAAAGCAGCTTATCGAGGCCAGACGAGGTCCATGACAAAGGGGATTATTGATCCAGGAATGATGATCCAGCGAATGAAACACCTACTGAACCACATTTGAAGCCTAGCAGCATGTGGGTATCGACTTTTCTCGGTGAGTGCCGCTGCTGGACTGGGAATCTCATGCCTGAGGCGAGCCCCCGGAGCCCCCGATGTCGGGTGCCCGAATGATGCGCAAGCCAAGGCTGACTCTCTGCCAAACCAATGAGAACGACACACTAGACCCTATGCAGACGGGTTAAGCTGAAAGGTCTGTGAATAAGAACCTAAAGAAACTTTCGTCCATATATTGTATGAAGAAAATAGCAGGATCCGATCTGATCATCAGCAGGCCGTGAGGACATACCGGCTGACTACTGACCTATGTAGTATGCACTTATGTGTAATACTCACTCTCCGGACCGATTGAGTCATCGAGTCCAGTTTTCGGGGGGCCCCGTTCAACGCGGAGGGTGCTTGCTCTGTGCACTTGCAGACTTTCCTAACTTCCTACTTTCTCAGACGAGAGATCGGCCCCGGACAGCCAGTGAGCGACTGCGGCGCTCTCTCCACCCCCGGCGCAGAAAGGCGAATTTTTTTTGCCGCCGCGAAGGACGATTACGCCGTGCGCAAATGGAAAGGCACACACACCGCCCACTCCACTCTCGATGACTCTTATTCCCTCGCTGGAAACAGACTCCCAGGTTTAAATATCATCCAGAGCCTGGAATTCTTCCCGTGTTGATTCCTTCTGCCTTCTATCGTCCGAAAATTGAACCCAATTTCTACCAAAGCACTCCTGCTTCCTTGTATCCCCCATCCTTTAGTCAAGAACCACCCCCGCCACTCCCGTCGGCCCCTCCCACACTGATATCCTGCATATCCCCACTATCTACATCGACGTACAATGTGTCCCGGCGTGGATAACGAGCCCAATGGGCAAGCCAACGGTGCCAATGGCGCCAACGGCAACGGCGGTATGTACTCAGCAACGCGACCATGCTGTACGGACTAGTATTTCCCGGGACTCCAGCTCATGCCATCTCCTCCAGACCACCCCGGCTTCACTCCCATTGAGACCCGCCAGAACCCCCAACACACCTCCCGCAACCCCTACGGCCACAACGTCGGTGTGACCGACTTCCTCAGCAATGTCTCTCGCTTCAAGATCATCGAGAGTACTCTCCGCGAGGGTGAACAATTCGCCAACGCTTTCTTCGATACCGAGAAGAAGATTGAGATCGCCAAGGCTCTCGACGACTTTGGTGTTGACTACGTGAGTCATCAATCGGCAGACGCCGCGTATCAGCCATTGAACCACACGACTAACAATCGACCTGCGCTAGATTGAGCTCACCAGCCCCTGTGCCTCTGAGCAGTCTCGTGCCGACTGCGAGGCTATCTGCAAGCTCGGCCTCAAGGCCAAGGTGCGTTGTTTCACATCTCCTCTCGTTGTCCGAGAGAGATCCGAAATGCAAGATCTGACTCTTTAATAGATTCTTACTCACATTCGCTGCCACATGGATGATGCCCGTGTTGCTGTTGAGACCGGTGTTGATGGAGTGTGAGTTCCCCCCTCCTTGTTTGAGACCCTGGCCCGGACGGTTCCTGACCTTGAATCACAGCGATGTCGTCATCGGCACATCCTCATACCTCCGTGAGCACTCCCACGGCAAGGACATGACCTACATCAAGAACACCGCCATTGAGGTCATCGAGTTTGTCAAGTCCAAGGGCATTGAGATCCGATTCTCCAGTGAGGATTCCTTCCGTTCAGATCTGGTCGACTTGCTCTCCATTTACTCCGCCGTCGACAAGGTCGGCGTGCAGCGTGTTGGTATCGCCGATACTGTGGGCTGTGCCTCCCCTCGCCAGGTTTACGAACTGGTCCGTGTGCTGCGCGGTGTGGTGAGCTGTGACATTGAGACTCACTTCCACAACGACACTGGATGCGCCATTGCCAATGCCTACTGTGCCCTCGAGGCCGGTGCGACCCACATTGACACCTCCGTTCTTGGTATCGGTGAGCGCAACGGTATCACCCCTCTTGGTGGTCTGATGGCCCGTATGATGGTCGCCGACCCCGACTACGTCAAGAGCAAGTACAAGCTGGAGAAGATCAAGGACATTGAGGACCTCGTCGCCGAGGCCGTCCAGGTCAACATCCCCTTCAACAACTACATCACCGGTTTCTGCGCCTTCACCCACAAGGCCGGTATTCACGCCAAGGCGATCCTCAACAACCCCAGCACCTACGAGATCATCAACCCCGCCGACTTCGGCATGACCCGTTACGTGCACTTTGCTTCTCGTCTGACGGGCTGGAACGCTATCAAGTCCCGTTGCCAACAACTGAAGATCAACTTGACCGATGACCAGTGCAAGGAGTGCACTGCCAAGATCAAGGCTTTGGCGGACATTCGTCCCATTGCTGTTGACGATGCCGACTCCATCATCCGTGCCTACGCTCGCAACCTGAAGCTCGGCGAGGACAAGCCCTTGATGGACCTGACCGCTGAGGAGCAGGCCCAATTCAAGGCCAAGGAGAAGGAGATTGCCCTCGAGACTCAAGAGAACGGCGTCCCTGTCTAAATGCCTTCTCTCTTGATTCACATGTCCGCGAGCGCCTTTTTGTGTTAGCTTTTGTTACCCTCCTTTTTGATCAATTTTTTTGACTGGAATATCTACGAGTCTTGGATTGGCATCATACCCTGTCATGTCAGTCAGATTCACACAGCGAAACGTTGGATGATTTGATGTGTTTTTATGTCTGGGAAACTCCCGTCACTTTCCTGTTAATGGGGGTTTTATAAGGAAAAGTTTTTTTTTGATTCTTGGATTCCCTTTTCATGTTCATCACCCCATTTTTTTTATCAGCAGCTCTCTTCCCGAGATCTACAAATGGACCTTCAGATAGTCCTGCATCTGTGTATAGAAGCTGGCAGTGTCATGGCTGCGGCAATTGAAAGAGTGCAATTTACAGTAGTTTGATACGCTCATCCTCATAACCGTCGAGACAAAGTTCATTTGGCGCTAGACGCCGGCGCGACACGGCGCTCCGATCGATCAATCCTGTCGATGTGGCTGCAGGGTTGTATCGCTGACATGTGTCCGGGTGTGTGTGGCAAAAAAGTCGGGGTACGGCCTTCCCCAGCCTCGGCGTGCGACATACGCACGGGGTCCCGCGGGCACCGGATCCTACTTTATCTTGACCCTCCGGCTTCCCGTCAGCGACAAGAAGTAATTTGTCTTTCCCTAGAGACAGTCACCCGGCCATCATGGGTTCTTCAGCATTGCCTGTTGCCCTGCAGAATAAGCTGGTAGGCTACGGTCGAGCCTCCAAAGCCCACCTATCAGCCGTGAACCTGGACCTGTAAGTTGTCAAGAACGTGCCTCTTTCGACGGTCGCTGCTCTGCTATCTACTCTCCGCGCCCATCGCGAAGCCTGCTGATTACCCCCGCCGAAGCTCTGTATACTTACTATGTGAACGTGGATAGGATCCGGAATATCATCTTTGTTCTCTTCTTGTTCCGACATGCCCGCAAGGCTTTCTACTCGCTCCGAGGCTATGGCTTGTTCGGCAGCATTCGCAATATCTACATCGCCATCCGACTGTTCTGCTACTCCGTCTTCCTGCGCGCCCCCGGTGTGCGCGGCCAGGTCGACAAGCAAGTTTCTACCGCGATCGAAAAACTCGAGAGCAAGCTTGTGAACAGTGGACCTGATATTGACCGCCATCTCACTCTACCTTTGGAAGGGTGGACTGCCGACCGGGTTCGCGAAGAGCTCAACAAGCTAGCCGGTCTTGAACATACCCGCTGGGAAGATGGCCGTGTCAGTGGTGCCGTGTATCATGGTGGCGAGGATTTGTTGAAGCTTCAGGCGGGCGCGTTCGAGCAATTTGGCGTCGCAAACCCTATCCATCCAGATGTCTTCCCCGGTGTGCGGAAGATGGAGGCCGAGGTTGTTGCAATGGTTCGTTTAAAAATGCAATAATGCCACGTCGGTGCCTGTACATGGGAATCAGGCTGACCGGGACTTGCAGGTTCTATCCATGTTCAACGGTCCATCAGATGGCGCTGGTGTGACTACCAGTGGTGGCACTGAATCCATTATCATGGCCTGTCTAGGTGCCCGTCAGAAGGCGTTCATTGAGCGTGGAGTGACAGAGCCTGAGATGTAAGAGTTGCTCGATGAAGCTTTGGTTCAACTAGAACGGACTTTCTGACACTCGTCCAGGATCATTCCAGACACGGCCCACGCGGCCTTCATCAAAGCTTGCAATTATTTCAAGATCAAGTTGCACCGCGTCCCGTGTCCCGAGCCCGAGTTCAAAGTTGACGTTAACGCCGTTCGTCGACTGATCAACCCCAACACCGTCCTACTCGTTGGCTCAGCCCCCAATTTCCCCCA